GGGGGGGGGGGGGGGCAGCCGAAGCGTTTCATTAAAATTTATTCTCTTATATTTCCATAAGTTAAAAAAAAGGGGAGGGGGGCTGGCGGGCTTTGACGCAAAATTCTCAAGATGTATTTGGTACACAATCCCTGGTAATAAGGGGGAGAGAATGCAGCCTGGATCAATCGCAGTGCCGGGTCTGCACCTACAAGACCACCCTAACGTCATCGTCAGGTTCACTTATTCGTTCCAACAAGATCTTTTCAAAATCCTCCCGGCGACACCAACCACCACCGCAGTCTTCCTGGACAATAGAAATCCTTGACGGTGGCGGCCATCCATGTCGGAGTTTCAACAATGGGCCTAAGTGTCTCACACAGCCACTGTAGTGACCACAGCTGAGTGTAGGCCTGGGGCGAGTTAGGTTGGGGGTGAGACAACTCCAGAAGTGATCAGACGGGGAGGGGGGGGTTGGAGGGGGGGGTGTTCAACAACTTATACAATGTATTAAGCCAGGCTTATTAACATAAGGCTTTGTGGCTAAAGTCTATTATTAGTAGTATAGGTCAGAGGTTTTCTCCCAGCAACACCCTGGTGTGTGTTACCAAAGTTCACATGTGTGTCTTTTAAAATTTGAAAAAAAAAAAAAGAAAATTGGATGTTAAGAATTGTTTTCCCCCAAGACCTTCAAAAGACATGTAATTATCCAACTATTTTAACAGGCCTGTACTGTAAGAAACAGATGTTTTGGATGCTGATTTTCATTGATATTTCATTGAAGAATCCAATATGAATTTTTTTAACATTCTGAATGGCACAGCAAAGTGTCACATCAATGTTGAGAATAGTTAAAGTAGAAAATTATTCAGTGTGTTTTTGAGATTGTTGTAAGTGTGTAGCAAGATTTAAAAAAGGTCTATAAACCTAAGTTTACTCACAAGTTTAGACAGCACATCTATCTGATAAGTCAGATAAGCCTCTATGTTTACACACAAGTTCAGACAGCACATCTGCTGTCAACTAGCTTATCTACTAAACCGATAAGGAACATCTAAGAGTTGTGAAGTAAATTCCTTTGATTCCCCTTGTGGTAATGAAAATAGAGTGGTTCCCACCCAAAAAACATTAAACATTTTTTTGTTAAATCAATATTTAAATGATGATATGGAAATAATAAGAACATGTGCTTAAAATAAAAATAAGATAAAAGGATCATTTCCATTCATCTAAAAATCACAGAGCTGAGTTGAGTGGATTCATAAAGAACAGGAAATAATTTTACTTTGAGGCAATTTTCAGAAGTGGTTCATAAGTTATCTTCTCATGTTTGTGTTGATTTACTACGGTTTATAGAACTGTTCTGGTAGCCATGGTAAAAATGTAACAATGAGACATTGCATGTTGATTAAATGCTCTATTTTTAAAACAAAATTTCAACAATTTACACAGTAAAAAAAATAACATTATAAAAAAACTACATTAATTTGATCATATAATTTGAATTAATCATTAGATCATATAATCTAAATTAATAATTAGATCAATCATATAATCAACAACTATCATTAGAACATGTAATGTACATAATTCATTGGTAAAAAGAAAAACAGTTCAGTAGCACCGTAATGTATGTCCTGTAAACCTTTTGTTTGCATGAACACACTGTCCCAATCAAACTGTTGACACTTACATATCACATGATGTAAGCAAACATCTGGGAAATGTCATGCTATCACTCCATATTGCAGTCTCATTAGCAGATGCTCTTATCTAATTCTTTTTCCTGGAAAAACATTTTTTTCTTCACTAAATGGCTTCGTCATATAATAAAAAGAGAAAATTAATATTTTCAAAACCTAAACAAAAACTTGAAAAAAACAACAAAAATAAGTGGTCCATTGAATGAAATTTTAACACTCTTTCCTTTAATCACTGCCCTACCAAGAACTACATCGAAATAAAAACTATTATTCAGACTCGGCAAAAAAATGGCACCAATTTATTCTTTTTTTTGTCCAGCAGAATTTTCTTACTAAAATTTAGAGCATGAAAGCTTTCAGTGGGTACAGAATGAGGTCGCTCCATTTTAGCATTGGCCGTCCAGTATGTCAGGTGTGTAAATTGAAAGAAAAATTACTTTTTCTTAGCCTTGCTCGGTGTGGCTACAGATGGTGAAAAGATGTCCATGCTGGATATTGATCCGGGCTCTTGTATCGTGGCATCATCGTGGGTGGAATAATCACGCAGCACCGGGCCAACACCATCTTGGGGTGTCTGGGGTACATTAGACTGTGGTGTTCTGGGAATATTGGAGGAAGGGTTAGGCACCCCATCTGTTGTAGTTACGGCGGTATCCACCACTTCTTCGGTTGATGTGAGCACTTTGGTCCTGAGAAGTCAAAGAAATAGACTTGATGTTAAAGATATCTTTCGAAATCTTTATCAAAACAAAGGATTAATAAAATCTACATTCATTTCTTTGGCTTTAATCTTTGTATGAAACAGATAAAAGCCTTTTTAATTTATGCTTTGATTGATGGTGCATTTGTTGTATTAGGGTTGGTAACAGATGACCTGTTAGCTTATTTGGCTTCATTGACCTATTGAGTCAGACAATTAATTGCTTTAAATAAATATATTATTAGTGACCTCTGTGTAATAACTCAAAAGCATACACCATTTTTATTGTCTAAATTGGCAGAATTGAGAGCAGCCTTAGAATGCATTATGTAGTGTGCATCCTATGAATTTTTTTTTAAACTTAAAGATTAAAACTCATGACTCCCAAATTTAATGTAAAAAATATTTCTAGTGGCAGCTGAATCCTGGTTCGTAAAAATTGCTAGATAAGTATGATAATTATAGAGCACTGCCCTCACCTTGCCTCTCCGGCCGTCCCTTTCCCTGACCACTTGGTTTCCACCTCCGTAGTGAGTCCTGTCGTTGTTTCATGTTCCACTGTGATTTCAAATGTACCCAGGCCTGAGGTATGGAGAAAAGACCTTTTTAAACAAGTATTGTTTTAGGAGGAATCACCAGTTAATTTTGCCATATTTCATCATGCCATGACCTACTCTTCATTAACTAGACTTTCTATCAACTGTCTGAGTTAGTTGCAGTAACATCTGATTATGACCAAAGGCTTATAGCCAATTTACAACAACAAAAAAGTTCCCACTGGCAGAAGGGTTCAAGATTGACAATGTAATAGCCAACCAACAACAAAATCATGAAAACTCCAAAGAGGTTCTTGACCTTTCAAATCTTTAATCAGATACTCTTATAAAACATAGACCTGGTTGTGGGGCTAAACTAATTCTGTACTAGCTGCCAGAGTTATTTCCCTTTACCGTATGTCAACATTTTTCAAATGAAAACTATCTTTATTTGAATGTGCCATTTGTGATAGCCTTGATCTTGTTGAACGGTGTTTAAATTTTTTTTTTATATTCAAGTTAGCCCCCCCCCCCTCCCCCCCACACCCCTTTTCTTTTTTCCTCCTCTCCCCCACCTCCTCTCTTAAGAATAGCAGCTGCTGTCTTGCCGTGCTGAGTCCATTCCACCCAGATTGAAAATATTATGACCAGCATTTCCTAATTATACTAAAGAGGAATTATTCATTTAGGACATCAAACTTATGAGCCAAAGTATAATTATGAATTATACACTTTCTCTCTATGATTTATGAATTCTACACTTACTCTCTATGTTGAGGAGCTGTTCAGCTTCATTGACCTCATCATTCTCATCCAGAAGAGGAAACTGTATTTCAGCACTGGACTCTTCCTTAATTCTGAACAAGAGGAAAACTTATTTCATTACAAAAATAATTGGTTTTTTTTTAATTATAGGGAGAGAGTTTTGTCAAACAGACAAGTCTGACATCACAAAGCAGTTCAAGCTTGTAATGCTATTTAACAGCTAATCCCCTGCTATGAATTCTGTGACTTGGTCTAGGACAGTATCTTAACATAAGTTAATTTAATCATAGCTTTTCATGTTAGGCATAGGTTAGGAAACATGACAACAGCTAATAAATTTGATGGGCGAACATGAAAGAAACTACACACTGTTAATGAAGTGAATGTTGCTGGGAAATCAGTTTCATCCCAGCCCCCAGGACATTAGCTCTGGGAGCAAACCAACAAACCCACTTTTAAGCTGATCTAAGGCATGGGGGAGAGATAAAGGAGTAGGGTGAGGTTTTAAATGTATCTACTCCAGTCCTCATAAGAATTTGAAGGCTAGGTTCTAGAAAAGGGAGGGGCATCCAATAGGACTTGCCCCTATGTGTAATACATGAGGCTGGGGGTAATGACTTTGGTCATTATTTTCCAAATGTACCACATAGCTAGCGTTACGGCAGAGCAAACTAGAGGTTAAAGTTGGGTGACAATAAGAGCCTGGAGCCTCCGTCTGCTAATATTTGTTTATGTAGTTCATCATTGCAACAACACAAAGTAAGATAAGGTCTTTCCATAAAATCTTATTGAAGGCACTGACCGTATCACATGCAACGTGTCTGAACTGGCTGGAGACAGGGGGCCTTGCTTTACGGTGACCGGCTGTTTGCTGAGTCTGTTGTACTCTGACATCAAGGTCTGACACTGGTCCTCCAGCTTTTGGCGGTAGGCCAGGATGCGCATCTGGTAGAAGTCGTGTATACAGGTCACACTGCCAAGACCCATTTCATGGAAGACACGCTCAATGATGTCCTGAAAATGTAGAATGTCAACACACAAAAAAAAGGGGGGGGGGGGGTTCCACACATTTGATTATGTTCAAGAGAAAGCTAAGCTGCAGCCATCTACCACTTTGACAGTTTGCGTGTGAATTTAACATTAAATTTAAAGATATTATGCTAGAGCACATTAATTTAATAAAAATTTAATGAGGTATTAAATTTAAATAAATGAACTGTGCACTCTATTTCAAGACCACACAAAATTTCAGTGAGCTGGTGTGAACTGCAAGCCAGAGAAAGAAGTGTGGAGAGATATCCATTGCGTCTCATGGTTGTCTTGGAGTTAAAATTGAAAAACAAAGAACAAACTGATGATGACATTTTAGAATATTTTAGCATCGGCCGTCCAAAACTTTTATTTGCATAATTATTATTTGAAGACTGCTTTATGTATCACACTGAAATTATTTTCCTTATAAATGTTGGTTTCAAGAATGGGCAAAGCAAGAACTTACAGGAAAACCGGCTGGACCATATTCTCCTCTCCTGTCAGCTGCAACTCCTAGGTGGCGAGTGAACTGAATGAAAAACTCCTGGCACACATCTGTCAGGGTCTCTAATACTGATTCATGGGTACCTGACAGGCATATCATAAGGTCAAAACAGGGTCTCTAATGCTGATTCATGGGTACCTGACAGGCATATCATAAGGTCAAAACAGGGTCTCTAATGCTGATTCATGGGTACCTGACAGGCATATCATAAGGTCAAAACAGGGTCCCTAATACTGATTCATGGGTACCTGACAGGCATATCATAAGGTCAAAACAGGGTCCCTAATACTGATTCAAGGGTACCTGACAGGCATATCATAAGGTCAAAACAGGGTCCCTAATACTGATTCATGGGTACCTGACAGGCATATCATAAGGTCAAAACAGGGTCTCTAATACTGATTCATGGGTACCTGACAGGCATATCATAAGGTCAAAACAGGGTCTCTAATACTGATTCATGGGTACCTGACAGGCATATCAAGAGGTCATTTTTAAAAAAATGTATAAGATTCTTGATAATTTAGTCAAAGAAGTTGATTAGTTGGATCGATATAGTGTAATCATGAGATTGATACAAAATAACTAGTTCTGGGTAAACTGTATGACTTTGCCTCTATGATTTACTAAGAGGGCAGATGAAGAAAAGAAGAAAGGATTGAACGGGTTATGAATACCTGACCAGATTTAAGGCTGGTAGTTAACACAAAATGACAGATTTACCCCACTGCACCAAGGGTTAAGATTAGTGACATTCAAAAAGCTGTGTTAAAATCTTCAAAGAAAACTAAAACATGTTTAAAAAAAATAATAAGACAATGACAGATCCATTTGGGCAAGTTAATCATAGGTGAGCTGAATTTTAGTATCCACTGTAAAGAAATAATCTAGGAAAATAAAAAAAATTTTTTTTTAAAATATGATCCAATTAGAAAAGGGGAGGTAGATATTGCCAGACAAAAACTGTACAGATCATAGAAAAAAAAAGATAATCTATTTACTACATCATGAGTGTAAATGATAAAAACTTACTATCGAAAGAAAGATGAGCACATATTGCTGCAGTTGATCGCCGGAGCAGCTTTCTACATGTGACTTCATCTATGGGTGCTGGAGCTTTGCCTACACCTCGAACGAAATCACTGAAAAGGAATTTTGGGAAGTGAGATTGAAATTGTGTTTCAAATTCTAAAAATTAAAAAAAAAAATATTACATTAACTACTGAATAAATAATCCTCAAGTGCATAAATTGAGGACATACCCAATCCGTGTTGGTGCTTTCATTTATTTTTTGTACATTTTTATAAAGTACTGTCACTGATTTTAGAACATAATGGTTTAAAAATGTATTGAGCAAAATTCTAGTCAAAGTAATTTAGTAGCATTTGTTTTACAGCCACTCCACAGGTGTGCGAGTAAGCTCACCTTTGGTATTCATCTTCTGTGAAGTATTTCTTTCTCGATCTGTCTCGGATGGGTGGGCCGTCATATTGGGGAATAGGCCCCACTGTGGTCACACCCATGTCTGTTTCTTGTTTCTTAAAGAGAAGAGGGACTTTAATTGTAGGTCTTCATTAATAATCCTCCAGCCCTAGCTGTCTCAAACAGGTAACTTTTATTTAATATTAATTTTTATAGGATAGGTCAAACGCAAATATTTTTAAAATCATTTTTCTTTTATTCAATAATAAAAAGGTTAAACAACAACATGATATACTTTACAAGATTGCTTAACATCCTTCAATGTTAAAAAGATCAATTTTTATTCTAATCCCAAATTCCTTATCAATTCGAAAATTGGCATAACTTATTCTCTGTTGACAAATTTACAGGGCAGAGAAATACACACAGCTTACTGTGTCTTGTTGTAGTGCTGCGATAGCTGCTCGAAGTTTCTTGATGTGTTGAATCAATCGTATAGTGTGAATAACAAGAGGGTCCATTTGAAAGTGATCACTTGGCAACACCCTGAGGAAATAAATAGTAAATTTATTTTGAGAATGTGCACTTACAGCATGGATGCTAAATAAATAGATCATCCATAAAGAAAAATGAAGCGATTCCATTTACATTAATTTTTTATCAAACTTTAAAATAAGGTACAAAGTTGAAACTTTGCACAGACTTCAAATATGTGCTTTCTTTTTTTCTTTGATTAGTTGAAATAAACCAGATGAAACTGAAGATAAATAATTGACACATACTCATTGGTCGGTGGGTGATGTCGACTAGATGGCTGATGAAGCAGAGGTCCTTCAATATCCAAAGGTCTGGGTTTTGTAATTTGTTCTCTCTCTAGAGCTGCTATTCCAGAGTCTGTATCAGCCACCTGAGGTAATTCTCCCCAGGAGCTAGTGGGATTTGCCATGCTGAAGGTTGTATCTGATGCTTGATTTTAATGCAACTTAATCTGATAAACTTGAAGAGAAAGGATAAACAAAAAAAAATGAATTTAACAAGAAAACTAAATTTCAGAGACATGTATAAAATAAGTGTGTCGAGTACAGATAAATGATAAATTGTTTGAGTAACTATGAAGGAAATACTACATTCATTGAAATAAAGAAAATATACTCAGGATAGAGTAATGTTACAAAATATTATTACATTTGCACTCTGGTTAAATCACCATTGATTATAATTAAATTCTCTATGTATTGTTTTTTGATGACCAGTTCTTGGTGTTATCTGGGTATTACTTATAACTTTGGAAGCTTTAATAACACCAGAAAAACTCTCTTTTTTAAGTACAGTAATTGTTATTGTTAAGTGTTTGGTAATAAAGGCCTACTTCCTAGGCCTAGTTCATATTTTAAAATATAAAATATGGCCTCTTGATTTTTTAAAGAAGCTTCTTAAATTAACTAAAATACAATACTATCAGTCCCAAGGTGAGGGACAGTGGGTGGGGTAATAATAACTGTTGTTAAATTCAAAAATTAAAATAAAGGCCAGGACAATCTACACTTCGCCCCCAAGGTTCTGATGAGTAGCCTCCCCTTTGTTTATTCGCTGATTGTTATTTGAGTTTACTATTCTCTTCATTTATATAAAAGGCAGATGGAATGGTTTTGATTGATGGCTTTGATAAATTAATATTTCATTGGGTGGTTAATTATTACATTTCAAAACAAGACCATTTTGACTGGTCATCATCTGATAAAAATTGTAAAATGGATTTTGACATTTCAGAGATCTTTTGGATTTATATAAAGTTTGTAAAAGTGTATTTGATGTAACTGTAAGTTGGGTTTTAATTATTTTGAACATTTTAAAAAATTATTTTAATCTTTTTATTTTAATTTACAATTTTCTCAGTTGTAAAGGTAGCACACAAACATGTGTTTTAGGGTTCATGTTCAATGTTATGTCATAGATTTTAGGTTTGAGGATTTATGCATAAGTTTAGGGGGTACTAAATTTAGGGGTGAATTTCCACTTGAGCTAGGGGGGACTAAGGCTAAGGGTTAATTTACGCTTGAGTTGGAGATACTGACCTAGCATTTAGGTTGTAACGTCATTTTGTGTTTTTGTTAAGTTTCTGTTTTGGATTCAATCCCCTTGTTGTTTTTCAAGTATGGCATATCAAAGCTCTGACCTCATGTCAAATACTTTCTTACTTTCCTTGTATGCCAGAATATTCTTGTTGTCTAGGATGTCTTATGATACATATTTAACCTGGTCCTTCGCTCCACTTAGAATCAACAAAAGATCCACAGCTACTACACAGTAATATATAATATTATAGACGATAATCACAATGGTTCACAGACATCAGTATACTGCTATACAATACAGTATTCATGCGTAGAAAATATCCACACACTTTCAATAATACAATCTCAGAGCAGTTAATACATCTCAGAGCAATCCAAATTGGACCTCTCAACTCTAAGTATCTCTCGCACTGTAAACCGTGAACCTAAGACTGTCCCCCTCAATAATACAATATCAGATCTCAGATCAGTTAATTCATTTTGAGAGCAATCCAAACTGGACCTCTCAACTCCAAGTATCTCTCGCACTGTAAACCGTGAACCTAAGACTGCCCCCCTCAAAAGATTCCTTCCCCTTTTATAATCAACATTCCATTCTCTCGTGACTCAAACTTGCACTCGCCCGTGATATGAAAACCATTCACTCTCGCTCACTATCCCATTCGTCACCTATTCAAAACACACACACTACAGCTGACTTCATGAACTTGTTGTTACTAGACTTAAATTTTCCTTAATGTGACGATGGAATGCTTTGAATTAAAATTTTATTGCTTGGTTAATTATAATATTTTAATTTTTCAGCCATATTTGGAAATGGGTTTCATATTGATTTTCTGACATTTTTTGGATATTCTTTTCGGTGGAACCTGAAATAAAGTGTGTTAAAGTGTAATCTATGAAATAGTAAGTTCGGTTTTCATTCTTTTACACTTATTTTGTTTGTTTTTCTTCATTTTTATAGTTTTCTTGCCACAATGTAACTGTAGCCACACATGTTTTTTTACTTGAGATTTAGGCTTATTTTTAGGCTTTAAGGCAGGCCTGCCCAATTCAAAATATAAGGCGGGCAGTAATACTTTATGAAAAACTTGTGCCGGCCAAAATAAAATAGGATAATAGGACAGGAATTGTGCGGGCCAAAAGAAAATATGAAAGGGGGGAAAGGTTGTTGAGAAAATAATAAGAATAAAGAATATTTTTTACTTTGCGGGACGCAAAGTCGGTGCTGGCAAGCGGCCCGCGGGCCGTATGTTGTGCAGGCCTGCTTTAAGGCTTAAGGTATAGGTTTAGTTTTAGGGTTAGGGATATACTTAGGGTTCAGGTTAGGTTAAGGGATAGATTTCAGGTTAGGTTAAGTGATAGTTTTGGGGTCCTGGTTAGGTTTAGGGATAATTTTTAAGATTTTAGCAGACATGAGTTTTTCTATACACTGCCGCCATCTTGGTAGCTACGACCCGTGACCTTTCATGGGTCGTGGCAACCAAGTTGGCGGCCATTGAAAAAAGCATGGCGTGGTATCTTTGCATGTGCAAGGTTAGGTAGAGTTGTAAAGTTTATGTTTCAAGGTTATTTGTTGATGTTTACGCAGACTGATGTTTATAATTTTTAAGCAGGTGTGTTTTTTACACTTTTCTTTTTACATGCCGCCCTCTTCATTGCCATGACACGTCTGCAAATTCAAATACTAAAGTAAAAATAGGGGCTGACTTCAATTCAAATTTGTTATTTGTGAATGATTGGTGTGGTGGAATTTACTGCACTCCTCAGAACGGCGGTCCCATATTATGTCAACAGAAATAATATAAAAAAATAATTTTTACCTCATGGAACTACATTAAAACACTTCGGTGGCCACTGTAACATGTATACATTGTTTCCCATTGTTTTGTCATATATTTTCAGTGGTTTTAAAGTGAACTTTTAATATAAAACATGTATTTACAAAGTAAATCAAATGCTTGGGTTGTTTTGGTCTATTTAGCCGAGGTGTGGCCAGATTTTTTGACAGTCTCAGACCAAAGGCAATATATTCGTACGATTAAAGTAATGTAAAAATAATAGATCATTAAGTCAGATTCAGAAGCATCAGCTTACACTGGGGTGTAAGGACCGGGCTCTCTCGAGCGTTGAAGGTCCCGTCGTGATGTCCATACACTGTAGGTCCATATAATGCGGTCTGTAGGGTGGGGGTATGTCACAAATGACCAGGGTGGAGACGAAGAATAATGGATGTAGGTACTGCACAAAAATACAATAGATCAGGGAATTGTTAACCTGACATTGGCAGATTTTATGGTAGTACAGGGAAGACATGATAGCTTGTGGAAAAGGGAGACTCCAGGTGGACAGTGTGGGAATGGGTATCACAAATGTTTTTGATTAACGAGTTTTTAGTTTGCAGGTGGAAGTGGCTTATTCATGAAGACCATGGGTAGTGTTAGATTAATTATCAGTAATGGAAAAAGTCTCAATGTGATAGATGCTAATAATATAGGTGGGTGTCAAGGTCACGAAATAACCATTTAGTTTGTGTGTTTTAAATTGGTGACAAACGGGGCTAGTGAGCCAGGGTGAACGTTTTTCATATAACGGGCGAGTGCAAGTTTGAGTTATGAGGGCATCAAATGTTGGGGTTATAAAAGGGGAGGGAATCTTTTTAGCGGGCAGTCTTAGGTTCACGGTTTACAGTGCGAGAGATACTTAGCGTTGAGAGGTCCAGTTTGGATTGCTCTCAAAATGAATTAACTGATCTGAGATCTGATATTGTATTATTGAAAGTGTGTGGATATTTTCTAAGCAAGATTTCTGTATTGTATAGCAGTATAGTGATGTATATGAATCATTGTGATTATTATCTTCTATAATAAAGTACTGTGTAGTTCATTGGACCTTTTGTTGATTCTGAGTCGAGCGAAAGGCCAGGTGAAATATGTATCATAAGACATCCAAGACAACAAGAATATTCTGGCATACAACGAAAGTATTTGACATGAGGTAAGAGTTTTAATATGCCATGGAATATTTGACAGTGGGTAAGGACATAGAATAGACGTCCGGGGGTTGAAGGATCCGATTGGGAAATGTTTTATTTTATGATTTAGCAATTCAATAACCGTGGGATGGTTATAGCATTGATCTCATGGGACCCGGGTGCAAATGGCGGCACTGCCTGTCCGGGCAATTTTTACTAAATGCTATTCGGATGTCATTTGTGGCTGTTTATTTTAGTTAAGCTTAGATACTTAGATACTTCGATGAAACAAGGGAGACTACTACTTTTTGTGCATTGGAAATAGAAATCGGTGCAGAAAAATCTGAGTTTTTAATTTTCCAATGTGTGTGTGTATTTATTATTAAATTAGCACTTTCGATATATATTTGAGTTCCGTTTTCGGCGTTATAATTAGGTAGACATCTTGGCCTACGTTTTAATCAATTTCTTTTTCATTTACAATCAGTCAGCTTTGAGAAAATCCTTGGTAAATATAAGGCAACTTTCATCATTAAAATTAAGTCGAAGTAAAAGATTTGTCACTACCAAATTTTTTTTGCATCTGGGGAATGTATTGATCTACATGTATGCCAATTTTCACAGCGATATGTGTCTTACGAAGATGACATGTTTCTACGCGTTCGCAGCAGGTCATGCAGTTCGCTCAACCTAATTTTGCCATAGGGTGGGCCATGCCCCCTTTTTAATGGCGGAAGTTGCAAGATACTTAGGAAATATTAATTTATTACCACTATTTACATCAAAATATTGGATAACTTGTGTTTCAGAATGCATTTTGAAGACATTTAAACTGGAATGTTTTAATTTGAGCTTTAACAACCCGGTAGAGTCCATATAATAAAAGATCAGAATTTATGGTGTGCAACATGTTGTCATTGGCAACCATTCACAGCCACTTGCATAATGGCTGTATCGTAGTACTACCTCAGAGTTTCATTCATAAGAGTTTGCCGTGTGCAAAAACTACTATACCATTAGTCAGAGAAAGCTTTAATTAATTATACATGTGCCAAAGTTGAAAGTTTAAACTAAGTCGACCCTAAACAGTATTTTAGTGATAAGGCGATGCATTGCCTTATATAAAGTATATAGTCATTGCGCATGACGGGATTAGCGGAATGAGGTCACAAGATGTGGAGGTTTCGTCCATAGTAAAAATACCAAACGAACTTACACTTTAAAAAGTCATAGCTCAAAAAGTACTTAAGCTAAAGAGTTGATTCTGGTTTCATTTTATTATTTGAAATTTGCTCTAACTGTGTTATTAAAAAAACTATTTCAATTTTTTAAAATTTTTTATTCAAGTACCTAGTTAAGCTGAAGAAGAAAGTTTACAAACATATAGTCCATTCAATTACTGGGTATCTTTCATTTGATACCTCATTTTGTCTCACAACCCCAACAATTTTTATTTTAAATAGTTTTTTAGGTAAATGTGAAGAGATAGCACCGCGTTTTTTTTACCTTGGTTGCCGCAACCCGCGAAGTTATGTTCTAATAATTGTATCCCTAAACTTAAACCTAGTACCTAGCCTAACCTGCCTGAACCCTAAATCATCTATATCCCTAAAAAACCTAACCTGAACCCTAAACTAACTTATCCTTAACCTGGGTTTTGACCCTATCTGAACCAGGGTGCTATCTCTTCACATTAGCCGTTTTTTAATCCCAAACTCTCACTACTGGTAGCCGAGTGCGAATAGCCACTTGACTTCATAAACTTCTCTTCATTATCATTAAAAAATATTAAAAGTTACCAATGCAAACGATGTAAAAAAAATCGATTTTTACCAGTAAATGGAATGTAGAACTCTTAAAATTAATAAAATAAAACAAAAATTAGATAAAATAGCAGGTACCCAATAACAAAATATGTCTTGGGATACATAAAAATACTTAAGAAAAATATTTTGTTAGTAGTTTGTAGCGATTCTTTCATGAATCATAAATTACGAAGTTTCATATTATTGTTTACAAATGGGGAAAGCCATCTTAATAGGAGCGCAGTAAATATTACTTTTAAACATCTGACAAATTTTATAAATATTTTTAAATAACATTTCGTTATATGGTAAGCCCGTTATATAAACCAATATATCCATTATTATTTTACAAAATACTTATTTACAGATTACTCGCGTTTAAGAAAATGAGCTGGAAAAAAAAAACAAGTAAATTTACTTCGGGTCTACAAGCGTCATGGAAACAATGAAAACTAATGGCGGCTGAAACTAATTTAAGCTCTTATCCTGGATGTTTTACGAACTTACAGAGTATTTAAATTATTGTTTTAAAAGGGATTAACACCTCTTTTGGTAAGTCAATTTATTATTTCCTTTTCTTTGAAGTGTTATGTAAAATATTAAAAGCCATCAGGGATAATTTGTTAAACTTTATTTAAAAAAACTTTATTTTTTAAAAAAATATTCAATCCTAAGTCACTAAGTCTAAGTCTAAGTCCGTTTAAAAAGCTATGCTGTAGAAAATGAAAGGTAAAAATAATTTTGTATGATGGTATAAATGGTTAATATTTATAATTCCCCCTATTCCTAAGCTGAGACTAGGCAAAAGAAGCCATTCCCCTTTTTCAAACTAGTTGGGCTAGGGCTAGGCAAGGCAATCTGGAATCTCACATTTTGGTACACCTGCCTTAAGACTTGATTCTTAAATGACTTGTTGATTTAATTCAATAACTGTACTGTAATTAAAATAAAGTGCCATAAGACTTATTCAGTTAATGCTTTGAGAAATTTTGCAACAAGTTATTTAGCCTATACAAAAAGTTACATACACATTGTCTTGCTGTACACAAATTTTTCAGATGTTAGAGATTTATAGGATCATGAATTTAAGAGTAAGGGTAAAGAAAAACAATGTTTAATTTTCTTAAATATGTCAACAGAAAATGGCAACAGCAACACACATCTCAAAAGTTTCTAGTACCGGGAGCAATTTGTCTAACTATGCAAATGCAAAGCCTAAGCCTGCTTCAAATATTCGCCTTGAACCAATCAAATTTAAAAGACATCGCCATGATAGGCAAGCAGCAGAGAAAAGTGCAACCCTTAGAAGTGAACTTCCTATCTTACGCAAACAGGACATTGCCAAGTAAGTGTTTTCTTACAATTTAATAAATGTATCTTTAAGTAAACCTTGTATATTCCAAAAATGAATTCAAATAAATTTTGGAGTTGCTTCACATTATATTAAATCAATATTATTAAAATTTAACAAAAATACAAAACTTTGACTAACTGCCATTAATTATAATTTTTTTTTGTCCATAGAGTATGAAACTAGGGTATTTTGATATGGGCTATTGATATGTTGTGCAGTGTCATTTAAAAAAAGATGTTGTTAAGCATGTTTGGCAATTGTTGACAAGTGGGGTGGGGGTTATATTAATTGATGTCAACAATCATGTTTTCTCTATTAAAATTTTAATCTTAAAAATTAATTGGTTATTATATTATTTTAACAAGTTTAATAAGTTTAAATTAAAATAATTATATAATTTTTGGGCTTTTAACAATGTAAGATTGATTTAATGTGTGTCTGTCTGTGCACTGCTGATGGCTGGTCAGAATGTTAGCACATTTTGTAAGTGTAAGAGAAGTCAAAAGTTGGCCTCTCTACACCTGTAGATTCGGTCTGCCGCAAATGACTAGGGCAGTATGTTTGCGATCGTGTTGAAGGTCTGGAACAAGGACAATATTAAAGTGTCATGTGCAGTCAAGATGAATGGTATTGGTAGCGTAGGAAAATGATATTTTCAAAATTAGGGGAAAGTAAAGTGAGTAAAAATAATACCATCGCTGCTTGAACGGATTTGCAAAATCTGTAACATTTATTTTTCATCGCAAGACATGTTGAAACTGTAGCAAGTTCAACAGCACCGACAATGCATAAGAAATTACCAGCTGCTCCTCAACAAAAAAGGATTCGACTAATGCAAGTGGCTGCCAGGAGACAGGGAGAGCTTATGGCAATTGTTGCTCACACTGACAATGCTTCTATTTTAAGTGCTGTATGGTTAGATGATGTTGACTTGTCTGGTATATCAGTTCCACAAGATGAAAATGATAAATCAGCTACTATGCCCATAGTTACAATAGAGCAACACCTGGCTACTCCCTGGGAAGGTGATAGCAGCTAGAAACTATGCTACAATTGTCAGCTATACTGACAATAATCAGATTTCAATTTCCACAAACAATGGTATTTAGTCTTTAAAAAACTTTTCATTGATTCTGCAATATAAAATTTAAGTGTAAAAACTTTTTAACTTGTTGATCAACAAGCTAAAGATGCAAAAAATGTTTTTCCTTCAATTTTGTGTTATTAAAATAGATCAGCACAAAGTAAAATGTATTTATTTATTCATTTATATATTTATTTATATTATAATTAATTTTTTTTTGGGAGGGTTGGGGCTAAACAGATATCTATAATCAGGCTAGGCAAATTTTGTTTAGCTTTTTGAATACTGGAGTGTAATTTTAATCAGCAGTTGCATATAAATTTTAGGATGACCAACAAAGTAAAGACTCAGTCCTACTACTTCCTAAAAAAAAATGTTTATAGATTTCCAGTCAGAAGCTGATTCAAATGTTTAATGGCCCTTGAATCTAATTTATATGGTATAAATATCATTTATTTTTAAAATTATGTTTGACATTCCATTTTTTTACTGCATTTTTTACTGGTTGAAGTGTTCTTGTTCATAATAAATCATTGTAGAAAGTGAACAAATATGAAAGAATATACTTCTAAATTTCTATGCTTTCCATTTGTTTGTTTTTAAATTAAAAATTGTGCAATAAAAAATTTTAAAAAATTCTTTTATCACACTATCCATGTGTAAATAAGTAAATTGGTTATGACACTTTAGTATTATCAACTCTTTTTTTTAACAACACTTTATTATAGGTTCCGTAACTCTTACAAACATAACCTCTGCTTGGATATGCTCACTGAAGGCTACCACCTTTCCTTCTGTGAGTTAATCAATCTCATACGCCAGCAGCATGAACGCAGAGAAGCAGCAGGACCAGAGTCATTTTTATGGACAAAGCCAGTTCTCCCAGACCAGCCAGAGAAGTTAGATATGATGAAGGTTTATCTCACGCGGGCAGAAGCTGCCAGCAGAATTGGTAATAAATAAATATATTAAAATTTAACAAAACACTAAGCTTGAGCCCCAGGAATAATATTTGCAATTAATATTTTTAAAGTTTTGTTACTTTTTAAATTAATTTTTTTTTTATTTACTTGATTATCATTTTAATTGACATTATCATATGGAAAGAAACCCAATTGATTGACTTCTATAATATAATACTATAATATAATATCAAATGTAGATGTCTTTAAAAGATTAATCATTACTTATTAATTATCATTTTAGTTGCATCAATTATAAATGACAAATTATTTAATTTATATTACACTATGTAGATTTTATCACACGATTATCTGTGTAACTGGAAAATACTAACTATTTTGATAGGTAATTATTCTGAGGAATACCAGGCTAGATATGACCTAGCTCAAGTGTTTAAAGACAATCCTGATGACCAGTGGTTAGCTGACCATGTTTTCTCCACATGTCTTGAAGTTGCAATGAAAGACTCTTCAGATGGAGGGAAAATGCAGTCAGAAGGACATTGCAATGTCGGATTATGTTTACAAAAAAGAGGTATGGTTCAGTAGGCGTCTAATGTTTTAAATAGATGATTCTATTTAACTATTAATAAATTGCTCAATAAAATATAAGTATTTTTTATCCATAAAACATACATCTCAAGAACTTTGCATTCAAATGGAATTAGAGAAAGTATTCATAAGTTTTCATTTAGTTTAATTTATATTTTTACTTCCTGCAGTACATTGGAATACAAGGATTTCTAAGTTAAATTATATACTGCAAAAGTGAGAAATTAAAATTTTTAGGCATTAAAATTACATTACCATTATTAATTTAATGACATGCTCAATTGGGTATTTTTTTGGATCTGTCTGCTTTGGTAGCATGAAATCGAAATTAATTCAAATAATGTTTTGGTTGATGATGTTTTTGTGAGCAGATTTACAGGCGTATCAGACTTCCATTTATTAAAATTTTTATGCTTAACCAATGGTGTGTGGAATTAAAGAAAAAATAATATTTATTCAAGCAATACAATGACTGGTGATATAATTTTATATTATTTTTAACTACAGGCAACTTTAGAGAGGCAGCAAAACATTTTGAAGCATATCATAAACATGCCCAAAACCACAAACAAGAATGGAGGATGTCTAATGGAACAAGCTTCTTCATAGATTCCTGTATCAAACTTTACCACATTTACACAATTATTGGTGCAGAGCAGACCAGAAGTGGGGAACTGGAAGAAAGGGACGCATCCCTGGAAACATTAAAACAAGCCCTAGAAATGGCCAAAAATAGTAGGTTTATTTGAGGTTATTTCTTTTATTTAATTCATACTACTATATTGTTTTAATGTGTGACAGATTAAGTATTAAGCTTTAAAAAGAACAAGTAAAAATTATATTTTTTTCCTGCTAAATTTTAACCAATAGATTGATTAAATTCTTGCTACACAACTGCATTATCCTGTACTATTTGTTATTTGAAATTATTAATTAGACACAAGCAATTTGTGCAAATAAAATAATATACGTTAAACTTTAATTATGGTTACACAGAATACAAATGCAAATGTTTTGTAAAATGCCTTCATCAGTACAAAAAAAGCCCCATTCATATAAACATAAATTAAATTTAGATAAAATATATACATATGTATCCTACCTAAAAATGAAAGAAAAGAAAATAATAAGCATGGGCACAAGTCCCTAATGAAAACAAAGCTCAGAAGAAAGGAAAGAAAGTGGATGAAGGTAACATTTAAAAACCAAAAAGGAAAAAGAAATTGCGGCTATGAAAAATTAAATTGTGAATTTGGTTTATACCATATGGAGTTATCTTACAAAATCTTAGTATTAATTTATTTTCCATATAAATTCTATCAGGTGTATAACTTGCATACAATATACCAATAACTTGAATTTCTAATATTCCATTCTGGTTAGCACTATTGAAATGTTTAGAAACTGGACAAAGGGCTTGTTTATTGATGTTGTAAAGGAGTTCTCTAAAGCAGTCTCCAAGGCAATGATGACCTGTCTCTCCTGTGTATGATTTTAAGCACTTTTTACAAAGGATGGTGTAAATCACCTTGTAACTTGTGCAAGTAAAACCATCTTTTATTCTGAATATTTCCAGAGGGAAAAGGATCATTTTCAATGACATAGGGACATGTGTTACAGTGACTATGGTTGCAGCTTTTGGTGCCTATATGTGCTTTAATACACTCTTATTATCAGATGATTATAAAAGCCATTTTTAATAAATACATTGTAATCCACATAAATAACTATTTTAGGAAAATATGATTCAAGTTGTAATATTCATTTAATTTTTATCCATTGTACGCAATGATATATTGTTCACTAATAATACAGTAAGATGTCATTAAGCAGGACTGTTGTGATTAGTACCACTCATGGTTTTGGACTTATCATGATTTACAAATCCCAAAGCAAACCTGGTATCTTCAATTCTGTAAATTATATATAAAATTATTATTAAAAAGCTATAAAATAAAATATAAAATACTATTCTATTTTAAAAACAGAAAAAAATAAAATAAAAAATAAAATTACACCAGTCAAACATTCAATATATGCTTGCAGCATTGTATCTCAAGTCTTTTAATATGGTTGACTTTGTACAGTGCTTTGAGCCTTTGGGAATGAAGCGTGATTTTCAAATAAACTTTATTATTATTATTATGTGTTGTTGAGAAATATTGAGATCATGAAATATTGACTGTCTGGATTTTTCACTGTCCAGATTGTAAAAGTCTTCCTGTAAATCCTTTCAGGAATTTGATGCTTTCAAATTCCTTCTATGAATGCAGTCCATCATTGGACAACTTACTATAAATTAACTTCTTATATTAGGAAAACTTTAAGTTATTTGCCACAGAATACAAATTTTTTCTTTCAATTTCAGTCATTATTGTTTAGCAGCATTTCTTTTTATTACCTTAAAAAGCCTGTTATCAAAGTTTCAGAATATTTAAAGACATAAAATATAACTGTTTTCAGGCCAAGATAAGAAATTAGAAGGTGAGGCATCCTACAACCTGGGAATGGCTTACCAGAGAATTAATGAACTGGATACTGCGCTGTCTGTAAGTTGCCTATGTCAGTAAACAATTCAGGTTTCTTTAAATAGTGTTTAAAGTTATGTTTCAATGGTTTTCAAACAAGTTTTTTTGTAGTAGCAATGACTATTTTATTTATTTACTATAATGAAATTCCAATGAAATGTCATAAAATTTGTAAAAATTTACTTGCAACATTTGCTATTATTTTTCCAGCATTTATTCAACTTCTATGAATCTTGTCAAGGCGATAGTAACAGTGAAGGTGTTGGGCGTGCCTGTGATTCAATTGCTAAAATATATGCAAGGTATATTTTATGAACAAGATGCATATCTTATGTTTATTTTTTCATATTTTCTGCATCTTTTGTTGGACAAAAAAGCACTTAAATAAACTGGGTTTTTAAAAGAGCTTTTTGCATTATTGAGCTAGGTTTTTTTAAAAATTAGTAGTTATGCTCAAAGTAAGATACATTTTTACAGAATATAAGATAAATTATCCAGTCAACTTTAAAAATAAATGTGTCCCCACTCATTAATTAGAATCGGTTACTTCAAACAGGCAAGGCAATAAAGAAAAAAGTGTTGAGTTTTTGAAACGTTTTGTTGAACTGACTGAAAAGACAGGCCTGGAAAAAGAATATTGCCTGGCTTGTCACAACTTGGGCAATGTCTGCAACTCTGTGGTGAGTGAATTGTTTTTACTCTCCAAATGACCTGGTTTGCAAACTAAACTCAAGACTCAACTGAACCCTTTAAAAAAAAATAAAAGCCATGTGTCATTTATTTTACCTCAATGAGAATAATTTTCTAAAATAGCACAGTTTTTCAACAAGAATTCATTTAATTTCTCATGAACTTTCAAGTGTACCACAAAGACTATTAATACTTAAAAAAGTAATACAAAAATTTGCAAACATAAAAATTTTGAAATTCTATATTACATTTTAGGATTTAATAACTAAATCAAAGTAAGCTATAATTTATACCAGATTCATTGAAAACTTATTTTTGTACCCACATTACAGGGTAACTATGATGAAGCTACTGAATATTTTAGTAAAGCCTACAATATTTCCCGTGCATTGGGTGATCCTGAGTCAACCAATGTAAACAGAGTGCAGTATGGTATTGCAATGGCCCACAGGATGATGGGCAAGTTTGCCAATCACATTGTTGTAGGTGGTAAGACCTGCATATCGCGACTAGCAGAATGGAAGAGTGTGAGAACAGACGAGTTTAGCAAGCCCATACCTGATACAGGTAAACTATTTCAAATAGGTTGAGAAATTTTACAAATTAAAGGAATATCTTTTTTTAGTATATATTTTTTTTTTAAATAAAGAAATTAGGGAAATATTAACAGTCTGGAGGAATAAAAAAAAAGATATGTCTGTGGTTGATATTAATTTGTCTTGGTGTTTATAATTTTAAAAACCAAAACAACTTGAGGCTTTCTATTTCTAAAGTTTGAGAACCTTGTTAACATACAAGATGAAAAAGAAAACTGAATCCTGTATTTGATAACTTTAAGCATATCTACTGGAATAACTATCAGTACACTTAAGTAGGAATGAGCTTACAATAAATGACCTAAGGAAATGCTTTTAAATGTCACATATTGTCAGAGTGCTCCACTCCAGGTTTCAGCAGAATTCCACTAGCCCAGGGCTATAATATATATTTAACCCTTATTAGTCTTAATTAGTTTTTAAAAATTGCAGATGGCAAATTTTTTTTTCAGAAACTAACTTTTAGGAAAAAAATGAATACAATATCTTAATCTTAGCATATAGCAGCTTATTGTTTTTCCTTTGCTTTGCTCCAACTCTGGGCTAGTTACCTTATTGTGAAAGTCTGCTGTTAGGTCTTATATTTAGCAACTGTCAAGCCACACAAGAAAAGATTTGAACCTGCCATCACAGATTTATAAACAAATTCTTAAATTGAGAACTCATCTAAAGTATAAATCAGAAGTCAATATATTGATAAATTTCTAGTGTTATTTTTAATTAGAAACTGATTTAATTCCAATAATGTAATTCTTATAGTGCCAATATTTTGATACATTTTGTAAGGTTTTTGAAAAATTACAAAATATAATTGTTTTCCATTCATATTTTTCTTTCAGTGCCAGGCGCAGCTCATCACGTGGTGCTCCCACCTCCTCCAGCTTCTAAAGAAAAGGAAGGAGATGAAGAAGGGATTGAAGAAAGCACTGAGCCATCCCTGGACATGAAGATAGATGAAGAGGATGAAGGCTCTGCAGTAGAGGGATCATAATGGACTGGAGATTATAATGTTAATACTAATGATAGTATATGTACAGCAAATATTGGAGAAAAGATGGAAAAGAAAGCACTGTGATAGATAGGGAATGTGTGATAAATATTTTTTAAAGGAGATGTGTATTTAATATTGACATTTCAAGACATAAAATAAGATGATATTTTGCATAGAATTGTCTGAAAATGCTTAAATCTAATGAATTTTATGTGAACAAGTAAATTTTGATACCCATTTACAGCTTGACGGCTTGAATGAATGAGGAAGTCTTCTGTTTAAAGTTTATAAAATGTTTTAGAATTATCTTATACGCATGTTCTACTTATCAAAGAAGATGGTTACTAAGGCTCTATGCCCATTACCCTTTTTAATTTGTTCATCAGTTTAAAATTTGATTTAGAAAATTGTGGGTTGAATGGTTTAATTATATTTCAGAAATTGGGGATAAAAATTCTTTAGCATTGAAACAAAACACTTTACATATATAGTAAAATAATTCTGTTGTCAAAAAGTAAAGTCTTTGACTAATTGATCAATGCCCAATAGACAATTTTTAAACAATTCTGATTCACCATCCACACAGATCAAATAGACTTTAAAAAAAAAAAGTTGTTTGTAGCTTTGGCATTAAGTGTAGGAGCTGTATATTGTTACATATTTATTTTCATCGTGTCACCATTTGTGAACATATTTTCCTCTCTGAAGTTCAATATAGACAATTGAATAACATATTTTCTGACTAACTTAGAAATCCATTAAAATATAAATGGACAATTCTCATATTCCATCAACACTGAACATATTGGATATCCTTCCTGGAAAATGCCCTCAATTTTATTACCATTGAATCATATCAAAATGTTTAGTTCTACCATTGTTAAATAGCAATTATCCTTTGATCTGATTCATTAAATTTTGAAGTTTTATTTAAATTTCTTCATTGAAATGGAAATAAAGCTTTGAGCTTCCTTGAGTCATAGAGAGTACATTTATTGTTAAGTCATAGAAACTATTTTTAAAGAGAATTTTACTATAGCCTCTAGGCCTAAATTTATTTAAACTTTATCTTTCTCAGATACTTGATTTCAAATCACTATAATTACATTTAGAAATCTGTGCCATGGGTTTAATTGGTCATTCAACTATAATCTTAAATTTGAAATGATTTAAAGATTGCCATAATAGAAATAAACAAAAAAAAATCACAATTTCTTTAAAAAGTTAAATTATGTGTAACCCTGATTAACCTTTAATTAAGGTTATTTTAATATGTAATAGCTCTCAAAGAAAAAAGAAATGTTGATATGCTTTTAATATCAATAAGAAAAAAACCAGTCCACTCTAGTTATCTAGCTTTTAGCCCACACCAACTTTTATGATATTCCTAGAACTTAGCATTGAATGTCTTTTGTTTACAATTTAAGAGTCAAAATTTTTCTTGATTTTGCTTATCTTAGCTAAAATTCAGATCATATTTGGTTGATCAATGAGTTGAGCCTTTTTTGAAATATATGAAACTGTGGTCTTAAAATTTTGAATAAAAAAGGACTTAACATGGCTGTCAGCATAATACAGATCAGACTGTTCACAGATTAATAAGAAAAATTATAACTTTCACTACACATGCATGTATATTTTACTATTTATGTTGGTAGGATAATCCATTATTCTGGTGATGCTTAGGTCATGGATTTGATCTTCATTCTGGACATTTTTTACAGGTTTGTTTAACTTATAGGTAATGGTTTACTCAAATATACTTTGTTTTAAATAGTGCACATGTCAACCAATATAAAATATTCTTTCTGCCCCCAAAATCCCCATTGTGTTTTTTGTGCTATTTTTTTTATTGGACAATCTTGTATTGTTTCAGTGTCAAATTTTTGTGAATGTATATTATTATGACTGGACTTTATCAAATTTTTGTATAAAACAAATATGAACATAAACCATCTGCAAAATATCTTTTAAATAATCTCTTTGTCCGTATAATTTATATTTGTATATATTTGAAGATTAGGGGTCATTCATAATAATAAAGGATGTCATAGTATTGATTATTTACTGCCCCTTCATCACAATTTAGCCAGACAATTTAGACAACCTCATAGCATATTAACATACATAATCACATATTCATAACTTCTTCCCCCAGATGGATGAAACCATATTTAAGACAAAATAAGATTCTTTTATTGATCCAAATAACTTAAAATCAGATTATATATAAATAAATATTATTTTCAAGACAAATTTAAAGCTAGAACAATTTTAACACAAGACATCTAAAGTAATTCTTAAGCTTAAGATATCAGTCATTATATGCCACAAAACATCACTTCTTTAGTGACAATATTGACTTTAAAGTGATCATTTAGATTTTATAACTGCTGGGGGTGCATGCTGGTACATTCTGACAGATTAGGGAAAAAATAATTTTTATATCTTTTGGTTCTAAAAATAATTCACACTGCTTGAGCTGATCCTAGGTATCTGTAATGAAGAAAGCGGGATTCAAAAGCACATCCCTCCACTTGAATCTATCAATGGCTTTTATCTGACCCCTAGTTTTTACTGATCTTCCTTTTAATGATAAAGAAGTTTCATGACATAACTTATAGGAAAAGTCAAAATTTACATTTGCTTGACAAATCATGTTTCAGTTTTATTGAACTTAAAATCGAACACTTCACATTTTAGCAACTTTAGTATCGTCTTACATGTTATGCATTTGAAAATGAAATTCTTTCTGTTAGAGGGAAGAAAAATAGACATAATAAACACTTTGCAGGTTGTAAAAGCAAATTATTTTATTATAAAAATAATTCATTTGTGCAAACATGTAAATACTCGGAAAATATTAAATATGGTTGATTAAATACAGATACTAAAAATGTAATAAAATACAAGATTTTTACTTTTTTCTCCTCATTCTTTCCTGGATGTTTTTGCTTGCTCAAACATACTGTTTAGAATTTCATGTAACAAATAGCAAAAACAAATTTTGAAAGAAATAGATGAATTGTATAAATTTTAGTCTAAGGAGCATATTTAGACTATATAAATTACGACGGATCACTTGTTACTTGGAACAATGAGATTTATTTTTAAAATGTGTTTTTTAAATCTTAGCAAGTGCTTACACTATGTTAATTGTTTAATAGATGCCATAAAAAAAATAAATTGCCATGATATTCAAACTGTAAATAAAAAAATAAAATTAGGACAGTCTAATATGAATATATTAATGGAATGATTAGATCTTATTTTTAAATTACAATTTTTTAAACATTCCACCTACATTAATACCATTGATAAACAAGTTCAGTCCACTAAAACAGAATCTGTAAGCAATCCCAAAGTTTGTCCAAAATATGTTATTCAAATACAAGAAGTTCTTCCAAATATGTCATAAAAAATGTGAGAAATACATTTTATTTACAATTTTCTTCTCATCTAAACGAAATACAAATATAAAAAAAGGAAAAACATCTCTACTATCAAACAATGCTTTAAAATTTATAGAGAAAGGCTGGATTCTCCATGATATTGCATACCTAACTTGCCAAGGAAATTTTGCAGAAAAATGGTGAATAACATGGGAATATTTTTGCTATTAACATTTGAGCAAAATTTTGCAAAGATATTATTTTTGAAAAGATTATTTAAAAAGTAATAAATACCGGTAACTTAATTATTAAAAGAGAAGAATAAAGCCTTAAATCTAATCTTCTTTTTTTAGCAACACATCAGCTTATGCTTGGCCAATACCGCAAACCCCATAATCTCCAACAGCTTTGCAGAAATTAGGTTGAGCCTCCAAGCTGTATGTCTTGGTCACTTCTTCACCTGAAAGAGACAAAATACAAATAAATTGTTAATCGAGAATACCAAGATGTTAAAAAAAATGTTAAAGAATTATTTTTTATTAAAGGTTGTAGAGCAAGAAAAACTCCCCAAGTCTTATAACAAAACTATGAGTGTAAGAAAATAAATTGCGTTAAAGCTTTAGCAGGTTAAAGACAAACAAAGCTTGACATATGTGTGCTCACAAATGAAATCTCTGAAACAGTCAATCTATAATCTACTTAATTCTAAATGTACTCAAAAAATATTTAAAAATGACAATAAACTTTTAAAAAAAAAAAAAAAAGAACAAAAAACTTTTAAAAAAAAAAAAAAAGAGCAAAAGTTTTGAAGTTTAATAATGAAATGAGAAAGGAAAACCACATTTTTATTCTTTATCTGGTAAAAGGAACTGATTTTTTTTTTTTAATGAAAAATTACAAAGACGCTTTAAAAACAATTTAATTATCATTTAATATACTTTCATATAAACTGATCATCCTTGAAAATTAAATATAACTGTTGCCATAATTATAATGTTCAAATTAGAGAAAATTCTTGAAACTCTCAGATAATGCAGATATTAGTGTTTATCATATTTTTAAATCTGTTTTTAAAATATGTCACTCTTGTAAATACTGTTTCTTTTACTGTTAATTTTGTGAGTATTACTTTGTGTCTTACATGACAAAAACATTCCACCATATAGTTCCACCATATAGTTCCACCATATAGGCCTGACCAGCGACCAAATTATGGATTATATATAAAGACCAATCTTTGAGGGCCTGTGAAATGGTAAGGGTCTGAAGACAACTGTTTTGAGAACCACTGTTATTGTGTTCATCAAATGTTACATATATTTCAGAGAGATAAGTTTCATGTTATGTCATTGGAACTTAACAAATTTTTTCCAGACTACAAGAGTAAGTAGTTAAAAGTCTCTCGGGTGGATTGATTATTTTCATCAGCTGAATGAAAAAGGGGAATATGCTACAGTTAGGGGAACTTTATCATTTTGATTTCTTCTTTTGAAACTTAGGAAGTAAATAGTGAATCTAAAACATGCTCATATCTTTTTTATTCTTTTCTAGGTCTTAAACACCTTGATTCAATATTCCTGTAAAATAATTATTTTTAGCTATGTAAAATTTGCTCTTGCAGTTTGACATTGCACTTTTTAAGAAGAAGAATAATGTTCATCTTATTTGTGTATCATCCACTTGAGGCTCCCTCAGTTCCACAAAATGTGTCGAGATTGGGGTGTGGATCTATTGACTAGGAAACCAGCTTATTCTCCTAAAAAAAATCTCAGTCTTTGTGATTTCATCCTGAGGAATTCAAAAGTTCCCACCATTGAGGTGGACAGATGTCAAAGAAAACCCCCCACAATTTTTCTGTATAAATTTCAATATGTATTCTCTAAAGCTGGCTCACTTGGATTGTAATAGTTGTAGACCCTTATGGATCTAGAAAGTGCTTTAGCCAAAACTCCACTTGTCTGGGCCATTGGAATTTTAACAGTAACACCCGATGTATTTATCTGAAATGTAGATAAGTCTATCATTGACATTTCATTTATGCATATCCAATATGATAACTCTGCTTTGGTGTTTATACAAGTAAACTATATGAGGTGTCTTATGTGGATATTTAAAAGACAAATTACAGTTGATATGGTAAGTGACATAAGAATGAGTTGAGATGTTGGTGTATGAATAATTCCTAACACAAAGACTTAGAGCTAAATTAGAATAAAATAATATAAAGCAAAATTGTTGAAGTTGGTGTTTTAGGCTGTTCTTATAAGTGAAAAAATTATTTTATCTATTTTCTTGAAAGGGACAGAAGTTTTTTTAATAAAACAAACTAAAACATATAACTTCATGTAAAGTAAATCAGAACTGTTATTTCATCTCTCCTGTCTCTTTGCATTTTTCTCATTAAAACACCATTCCACTTTAAAGATAACCAAACCTCAGTGTTGGTAAAAGAAATAAAAAACTGCTGTGTGGCAATCATTATAATTAATTCTAACCCGTTTCTTTATTTATTTGAAAGCATTGTTGTTAACAGTGAACCTACCCCACCAGCATTAAAGTATAGGTTGAGCTTATCTCCAGAGATCTCCACCAAGCTGATGTTCTTATTAGCTGTTAGCACGTCCGTATCAGGTGAGTAACTGGGAAAAAGTTCCACCTCAAGAATGGTCATGCTGCTCTCCTGCATAGTCAGTAGTTATATAATCATTATGTATTCCTTTAATCATTATATTTTTGGTGGTTGTTGTTGCGTTGTTGTTTTTTTTGAAGTGTGTTATTAATACTGACTGAACAGGGTGTTCTCTTAATTTGAAATTTTCAAGTTTTAAAATAAAATTGCATCTTAAGCCTCAAAAGGCACACACATAAAAAAAAACCAACATTTGTGTGTTTAGAGGGTTTTGAACAAGTGGTAGCGCTCAATGCAGTTGTATTAAACCAGTAGGTTTGTTACACCCTATCAGATCATTTAATGACTCCTCTCAGTCAGGCAATGTCCAAGAAGATTACATAATCCCCAATCACCTCTCAGTTTAAAAAAAATAAATTAATATATATAATATAACATTAAATTATTGTCTCTGATATATTATTCGTTTCCGTGTGATCCGTGATTCTTATTTTCAGTTTTTTTTACCTCAGACCAAAGAAATAGTGTTAATTATCTTTAAAATTATAGTTGACTTTAAATTGTTTCAAAATATGCAACATTCAGATTTAGTCTGAGAGATTTTTTTTTAAAAATGAGGAGCTGTTACCATCTATAATACAAATTCCTGACATTCTGTGTGGGGGAAAAAAGCCCTAAATGCCATCTTCAAATATAATGTGATCTGTTAATCTTGTTCAATAACAATATTAATAATGCTATACACATTAACGAAATAAGTATTTATTTTACATAAAAATGTCTAATTCCTTTAAATTATTATAATATTTAAAATGAACTGTGGCCATACTGATTCAACTTTGCTAATATCCCGTCTAAGGGTACTACTTATCTATGGGTGCTAGGTGCAGACACGATATGTGCTTGGTTGCTGAATGCAAGCTGGTCAAGAAAATTTGGTTGTATAGGCATTATTATATAGTGTTCAATTAAAAAATTGCTTACTTGCACGTATAATGCAATCCCCTACGTTTAAGTAGAATTTTTTCCCTAAATTTCTCACATTATACAAGGTAATATAAGGTCAGTATCCCCACAAAGACAAACAATGCAACCAGACAATTAAAAAATTGATATTGGGTTTGAATTCAGGCTATTTGCATTGCAGCTGTTGAAAGTAAGTTCCCACCCAAGATGCAAAACTGTTGGGGACACCTCTGACCAAGGGTCAAGCAATGAGCTAAATTTTGTGCATGGAATAAAAAAACTCAGCATATGTCAAACCTCAGTTGACTTCGTCCTGATTATCACAGTCAACTCAATGTTGTTGCCCTGGGTGACCAGTTGGTAGTCCATGTCATACACCTGTGCTTTGGTCTCATCCTTGATGTTGTAATACATCACAACCTGGAATGTTTGCATATTAAAGAACTGAGTGTCTCATTGACTATTCTCTTTATTTTTAGACTATTATTAATTATTTAAGCATTAAAAGGCTTACATGATAGTCTGATAGGTATTTTAAAAAGGTATTGCTCTTTTTTTCTGTCTAATTTGGACAGGAAAAGGAATGAATAAATAGTAATGATAAATAATAGGAATAATAAATTGAATATGGTGAAAAGTCATTAAGATGGCACACATTGACAGGTTTTTTTAAATTAGGTCTAACCTCAGTTACAATAGCACTGGGTCCTTGCCTGC